ATTTGAAAAGATCTGACCTCTCCAGTAGAATCAGACCAAAGGAAACATGCATTTTGCTATTGTGGTCATGTTTATCAATTTAAAGTCAACCCCAAAATATAATAGTGATTCAATGAAGACAGAAAACTGGAAAATTAATAAAAATTAATAAAAAATGAATCTTTAATGCTTTATTTGAATCTGCTGAGGGATTTTCAGAAAAACTTTAATATAAAGAAATGTAACGGTCCAATCTTGAAGTAAGAAATCCATTGCCAAGTTTGTTTTCTACATAATTCTGAGACAGGAAGTTAATAAATCTGTTATCTTTTTAATCAAAGAACAGATTCTGGTCAACAGTAAATCAACAAGGTAACACTATCTGGAGTCAAATATCGTCAGTTTAATCCATTTAAACTGTTTTTTGGTGGTTAAACTGTTGATTTTTGACCGTCGGTGGATGATTTTTAAGGCTAACTCACAGAGAAAGCTACTTTTTTAATATTCAAGTCTAAACAAATTCAATTTAGTAGCCAAGGAACCCAATTTGAAAAGATCTGACCTCTCCAGTAGAATCAGACCAAAGGAAACAGGCATTTTCCAACTGTGGTCTCAATTTAATCAATTTAAAGTCAACCCCAAAATATAAAAGTGATTCAATTAAGACAGAAAACTGGAAAATTTATAAAAAAAATTATATAAAATTAATTGTGAGAACAAAATCTTTAATGCTTTACTTGAATCTGCTGAGGGATTTTCAGAAAAACTTTAATATAAAGATATTTAACGGTCCAATCTTGAGGTAAGAAATCCATAGCCAAGTTTTTTTTCTACATAAATCTGAGACAGGAATTTTATAAATTTGGTATCTTTTTAGTCAAAGGACAGATTCTGGGCTCCAGGTAAAGCTATCTGGAGTCAAATATAGTCACTTTCATACTACTCACAGAGAAAGCTACTTTTTTAATATTCAAGTCTAAACAAATTCAATTTAGTAGCCAAGGAACCCAATTTGAAAAGATCTGACCTCTCCAGTAGAATCAGACCAAAGGAAACATGCATTTAGCTATTGTGGTCTCAATTTAATCAATTTAAAGTCAATCCCAAAATATAAAAGTGATTCAATGAAGACAGAAAACTGGAAAATTAAAATATTTCCTAATAGTAAGAACAAAATCTCTGCTTTATTTGAGGGATTTTCATAAAAACTTTAATATAAAGATATTTAACAGTCCAATCTTGAGGTAACAAATCCATAGCCAAGTTTTTTTTCTACATAAATCTGAGACAGGAAGTTTATAAATTTGGTATATTTTTAGTCAAAGAACAGATTCTGGGCACCAATAAATCAACAATCAAGCCGAGGTAACACTATCTGGAGTCGAATATAGTCGGTTTCATCCTTTTAAACCGTTTAATTCTGTATTTGTTTGCTTATCAAACGTGTTTTTGCTGTTAAACTGTTAATTTTTGACCGTCAGTGGATGATTTTTAAGGCTAACTCTCAGAGGCAGCCTGTGTCTGAGCACAAAAAACGAGGTCAAAGGTCACGTCTTCTAGACAAAAGAAGCCGCCAGAATCCCTCAGAGGTGCAAACCGTAAGATTACCGCGTTCTGTTTCCATTTCTACAGATCACCGGGTCAAATCTGACCTGTGGATTACTCCGTTTGTTTTTTTCCCACTTTGCCGGAGTCTCGATGGTTTATGGTTTAATCCTCGGGCTCTTAGACTGTTAGAATTAATGTGTTAATCCCAGAGAAAAGAAAAGAGTCTGTAAGAAATGAGCCGTAAAAGGACGGAAAATAGGTCAAGTGTCCAGACGTCGTCTTGACCTGCTGCACAACTTAATTTACATTTTTGACTTTTCATAATTGCACGCCCAATTATTCCCCGCTTGGTGGCCCAGTTTGCATGGCTGCCTCCAAATGAAGGAGGAAGCTAAATGGATGATTGTTTTATCACTTCACTTGTCTTTATTTTGGTCAATTGTCCACATTAAACACAAGAAACAACAAAAAGAAAAAAAAGAAAAAAAAACAATAGACAAACCCACAGTTTACCAAAAAAAAAAAGGAATAGGCCGAAGCAAAGCTTATTCTTGCCTACCCTATTTTTTAAAAATTCAAATTCAGATTCAAGTACATAGTACATATATAGATCTACATAAGAACGTAAGATTTTATCATTTTACATTTTAAAGCTCTTTTAAAGTTCACCAAGAAAGGACATAACTTAAATTCATCATTCAATTCATTCCACAGTTTCACACCAATAACTGAAACACATCTAGACTTTATCTGACTTTTCTCTTTTGCACATTCAAATATAAATCTTTAAAAGCTCAGCTCAGCAACCAGAACAGGAATCAGAATAAAGCAATTACATGTAAAAATGACTCTACTATTTGAATATTGAGGATTAAGTCAAACATTATGTCCACGGTAATATTTTGTATTATTTAAGTCGATGAAAAGCTGGAATTCTTTCACAGAAAAACTTTCTTTTATGTAACCGTGAGGTTTGAAAATTGTGTGACAAAGAAAAAGTGCCTTCTAAGAAATTGTGTGATTTGATTATAAATGTAAATTGTAAAAGGGAAAAAGACAAAATGACAAATGGCAATAAAACTGTTTTTGTGTTAAAGACTATTCAGAGTTCAACTGGTTTTTACACAAACCCAAAAACAAACAGTGTTGTGTGGAGGTTGTTTTTTTTTACCACAATTTAAGGTTGACTGAATTTGAAAAATAATACATTTGAATTGTTCCTATTTAAAGCTGCTTTTTGTGCTTTTAAAGCTATTTTTTGGGGCTTTTAAAGCCGTTTTTGTGCTTTTAAAGCTGTTTTTGGGGCTTTTGAACGCTAATTTGATCAAAATAATTTCTGTTTTTTTTCTTCATATGTTGTTGAGGGGCCAAAGAAAGACTTCAGACTAAATAAATCCAATATTCTTCCTATTTTCATTGGATCAGGCTTTAAAGGGTTAAAGCTGTTTTTCAGGGCTTTTAAAGCTGTTTTGGCCTTTAAAGATGTTTTTTTAGGGCATTTAAAGCTATTTTTTGGGGCTTGTAAAGCTGTTTTCGTGCTTTTAAAAGAAAAGACTTCAGAAAGACTTCAGACTAAAAAAATCCAATATTCTTCCTATTTTTCTTGGATCGGGCTTTAAAGGGTTAAATCTGACTGTAAATTTCACATCCAGAAGTAAAGATCTGCTGTTTGAAACCCAGAAGATTCCCACTTCCACATCCAGAGTCATTTCCTGCTTCCTGTTCAGAACTCTGGCCAATTATTTCATCATCCCTCTTTCAAATAACCTTTTTCTTATTTTGGTATTCTTTTTTAAATTTATCCGATGAGCCAGTGACTCAAATCCTTCATGTGAAAGCTTCCGGACAACAAGGATTCTCATTTAAAGAAATAATTTTTGTCTTAGACATTGAAATAAAAGGGTAAAAAAAGCTGCTCCCTACAACTTAAAGCTAAATGATTCTGTGTCTTTTCTAAGAATCTGTAAAAATCCAAAGGACTTTTGCAGAAGCAAAGAGTCAACGGAGGATTTGTCCCAACAGATCCAACCAATCCGGTTTTACCAGAGTCAGAGCCAAATGTGAGTAAGAGTAAAGAACAAATCATAACTCATCTTTTTACCTTCTCAAAATCTTGACTTTCTAACTGAGACGTGGTTTGAAACAAACAGCTTCAGCTGTCCTGATGGAGGCTCGTTTTCTGTCTGAAACATGAAAAGATTTTATTAAATGCCACTGAAAATGCAGAGTTTCTGTTCATTTAACATCTAAAATTAGGCAAGGGGCCTCGAAGTTAAACCAGACACATTTTTACCTCACAAAATAAAACGTAGTCTTGCTTTTCTTTGGAATTTAATTCCACGAATGCCACTGGTTCTCATGGAGAACAGGCCAGCTCTAAAATACATTAATACATAAATACTGCTCAAAAATGGTGCCAGGCGTATGATTTAATTCAGTTAAGATGTGAAGGCCATGATACGGGTTAATTTTGTTTTTCTACACGAGCTAACAAGTCCCCTGACTCAGTATAAACACATTTATAGGACTAGCTATATAGACACCAAAAGCAGATAAATGTGAATGACGTACACAGTTTTTTCTCAAATCCAGAATCTCTAGTGGTGTGTAAAGCCGTGATATCAGTACGAGGCATAAATTTATACAGCTACTATAAAAGTTTTTAACCAGGTTTTTATGCAAAATATAATTACAACCAGAGTTGTTGAACCACTGAACCACAAGTTCAGTATCTAAAGAATTTCTGGGTTAAAGGCTGTTTGGAAAAACTTCTCTGAAAT